CCCCCCCCCCCCCCCCCCCCCCCCCCCCCTTTTTTGCCTCTTGAACGGCTCTATGAACTTTTGGAAGCAATACTGTCAGTGGGTTCATTTCAACAATAGTTAACCCTAGTTTAAATGCCTTTCTGAACTGCCGTCAGATCACATAATAATTGCTGAGGCCAAATCAGCATAAGGACCTCTATGCTGGGAATCAGATGTTTGTACTGTGTGAGAGATGTAATAGACAGGTTTATCCCAGATGTTTGTCTCTGGAGGTGCTTGTCTTTATGTCTTGCTCACTTTCACCCCATTCTATGACCAAAGCTGAGCTCTACCAATAGGTGGTGCTGTTTGACTTGAGTGTTTTTATTTAATTTTTTTTGCTTTATGCTGTTATGAATTTTTTTTGAATTTTTTTTTTTTATCGACACTAACTGACCCCCCCAAGTATGTTCTTGTTTCTCATCCTGTCTTTGGACAGAATCTAATGTTGAAAAAGGAGATGAACTTAGATTTTATTTTTCATTGATTAAAAGTCTTGTGCCTCACATAGAACCAAACAGACACGCATATGTTCAAAAATTACACAGTCATATATGTTTAGGTCTGGTGATACAGCTAATTGCCTGATCCGGTTTTACTGTTTGTGCGAAAGAGGGGATGGAGCTAGTTCAGGGGTACAGGGCAGAACTTGGAGCGATCATTAAATGCTATTGGTTATTAATACTTTGTGTCGTCTGCTTTATTTGTCTTCTATATCGCTTGATGTTTACAGATGCTGTCTAAAAGGTTTAAATTAGCCATTTTTACTGAAATATAAAAATAATTTCATAAATAGAACCAAACAGACACGCATATGTTCAAAAATTACACAGTCATATATGTTTAGGTCTGGTGATACAGCTAATTGCCTGATCCGGTTTTACTGTTTGTGCGAAAGAGGGGATGGAGCTAGTTCAGGGGTACAGGGCAGAACTTGGAGCGATCATTAAATGCTATTGGTTATTAATACTTTGTGTCGTCTGCTTTATTTGTCTTCTATATCGCTTGATGTTTACAGATGCTGTCTAAAAGGTTTAAATTAGCCATTTTTACTGAAATATAAAAAAAATTACATTTTAACTTTTAAAATAAAAATATCAAAATAAAAGCTTAGCAAAATATTAGTAAATACTCTAGTAGTATATAAATACTATAAAATAAGTTAATTCAGTAAATATTAATCAATACTATAATAGTTTATAAATTATATTGAAATAACAGTGCACTGGATCAGATGTTTTACTTAATAGTAGTTAGTTTGGCATTGGGTAATTTTTGTTTTTTAGTAAGAATGATCATTTTATCAAAAGACATTATAGTTGTGTATTTCAGTAAATGTAATCAGTCTCCCAAATAAATTAAGGTGTCCATTATTAAACGTACATCAGGTCTGTATCTCAGACCTAAAAATGCAAAACCGCACTGTTTCCACATTACAGTACTTGCACATAAACAAAACCAATTTTTTAAGTTGATTATACACATTCGTTCAGTGGGTGGGATGTACCAGTATACAGGACTGCAGTTATCCAGGTTGCATCTCACCTCAGGGTATCTGTGTCTGTTTTCCTTCCAACTCCTCAGCAAAGCTGGATTTGCACTATTTATCAGTTGTTCGCCAAGATGTACAACTGCTCCCACTGTGTGACCTTTGCAGAATGACTGCATTGAAGTCAAATTCAATGTGAAAGCTGCTGGAGTAATGTTGGAAAGGCAAGGCATTAGACTTACAGCCTGTGGATTTCGATGGTTGAAGTTGAAGTGTGTATTTGTTTTGTATGCAGTGCTTGGGAATGGGTTGTGAAATCTCTGAAACCCTTTAATTTTCTATTCAGATAGTTCGGATGGGTGCTAGATGAATCATTGACCTATTCAGTCTGAAGCCGAGCCAAATGCTTTACCATTTAAAAATGTTCAACAGCTGTTTGTCTTCATGGTCAAAATCAATTACAGCGATTATAATTATTTGGAACCTGTCTACTTGAACAGTCACACTTAAATGATTTTAGCAAATGGCTGCAATATAACAAAGAGTGAAAAATTTAAGGGGGTCTGAATACTTTCCGTACCCACTGTATATATAATTATTACTTTATTCTTTTTTTTTTTTCTAACTCAACTGTGGAACAAAAAATAACTCTCATTTACATCTTAAGCAGCCTTCCAGTCTCTACGACTCACCATTTGGGGATTGTTTTGGACAAACAAGACATGCAGCAGCTAGAACCTGTGGGTGATTGCTTTACCAAACCAGGCCTGTCTAACTATTCCGACCCATCTACTCCACCCACTTATTTAATCTGGCCAAGTGATCTCATCCGTGAACCGGTCCTGGATTGCCAAGCAGTACAAGGAGTGTCAAAAAACATCCACAGCTTGAATTCAAGTATTCTCCTGTCATATCTCCGGTTGTCTCACAAAGAGTCATCCAACTTAATTATGTTTCTACTGGCAATAAGTACACTGTCAGAAAAAGGCATAAAAGCTGTCACTGCGCGGTACCTTTTCAAAAGGTACCCATTATTACCTTAATTACCTTTAAAGGGTGCATATTACTACCTTTAAGTTAGTACCTAACTTGATACCTAAATTGCATTAGTACATTTTGAGAAGTTACTGTGACAGCTTTTGTACCATTTTTTTCTGAGTGTAAGAAACAGAAGATGCCAATAGTACATGAAAAGTGCTTTCAGCACGTGCTTCCCTGTTTGAGCAACTTTTCTGTAAGCTTTCAAAAACTGTAGTCCATAGAATTCTAATTCACTTTCACTTAATTTGAATTTTTGAAATCTGAAAATGTAAGCTACTAGAACTAATGGAGTAAAGACAAATGACTGAATGAATGTGGTCACAGTGACTTTAAAGCATTAGAGGATTTTTTTTTTTTTCAGTAGGATGCAGTTAAGTGCTCTCAGATGAGATGAGTTTTCAGCTCTCTCTTGAATGTTGTCTCAGGGATTCGGCGTACGGGGTTGGGAAGATCATTCCACCAGCAAGGAACAGTGAACAGAAATGTTCTGGAAAGTGATTTTGTGTCTCTCACTTACCCACCTCAGGTATCTGGAGGGGATGTATAGTCTCGTAAAAAAAAGTGTGGAGGAGGGTGTAGAGCCTGTGGCTGTTCTGTGTGCAATCTACATCACCTAAAATTATGATTTTTGACCAGTGTTGCCTCAGGTCTTGAGCTTTCTAACTAAAATAACAACATAATCTATTGAATTGCTATTCAGTTTATGGTACTGAAATCTTATATAAGTTTTAGTGACCAAAAATGTAATGTTCATCATATCATATTTTATATATATATAAACAACACGCTCCAAAAACCATCCGATGCATTCACACAGAACACATGTAGTGATGGGACTCACTCGACTCAAGGTACGAGGACTCACTGTCATCTCAGCTACAGTCAAAGAAAGATCACTCTAAAAAAACTCAACTCAACTTTGGGCCAAATATGGACTAACCCAAATTTTGGGTTTAAAAAAATAAAAAAAATTTATTTTAACCCAAAATGAGCGATATATGCCCAATATATATATATATATATATATATATATATAAGCACTTCCTTTCACTAACCTTTTGTTGACAATTTGGCTTTCAGGCCTTAGGTTGTACCCTATTGGTGTAGTAGTCATTTTTATTTGAATGTATATGAAAACTGTTGGTCTGTAATACATTGTGTTTTTAGTCTAACTTCATGTGCAGAAAATAGACAATATTTACTTGATCTACGCTATTTCTTTAGCTTATTAGGCTACTAGTGCTGAATGTGAGCAAATATTCACAAAGAATGAACAATGTCGTGATATTCTCTTTCCTCAGAGCAAAGTGTTGAGAACTTTTGGTAAATTCTCAGTCCTGGACACTTATCCCGGGTATCGGGTAGTCACAACTTCCTTCTCCGCCTTCTTCTGCTTCACTTTCCCGGGACGTGTGCGTGTGTGCGGTGAAAGTGAACGGTCTGCCCCTCTCATTCACTCTGAACTCATCACAGTCCACGCACACAGCGACACGGACACTCTCAAAGCCTGTCTGCTCTTTACCGTTCCTGCTTCTCTTTCAGCGGGAAAGAGGACAATCATCCGTTTTACTGTCCGCGGGCATGCATCAGCACGGTGGCGGGCACCGGGAGGGCTGTTGGAGTCGCGCGTGGATTAATGTTTGCAGATGCACTTTATATTTATTTCTACTATTAAGCCTGGAGCGGAGCACCGTGCACTCAGGTAGGAAACATTTGCGCTTGATTATCACTTTTTTCGTTATGCCTTTTTCTGACTGCTTTAATGTTGTCATGATTATAGACGTGTTGTGTGATTTAAAAATAATAGGCCACTAATAATGTGAGGCTTGGTTTTATTTGGGGTGCTGCTGTTGTGTTGGCTCCGGCTGCACTGATGTGAAGGAATGCCATGAAAGTCCAAACTCTGAGTGGAACCAGATGTGAGAAGAGGAAGAGACCGGGGGAGGGGAGTGCGAGCGCTGGTGCTGGGGCTATTGATTAATTCAAGTGGCTCGGATCATTTGAATCGATTCACTAAAAAAATCACTTTAGATTCTGCAGGTTATGTAGTTACGCCAGTAGGTGGCGACATGCGAATGGCCTTTTGTTGTGGATGTTTATGAGTCATTGAATCGTTTACTTGAATGATTCGTTATAAACAGGTTGTTAAAAAGACGAAACTCGGTCAAAAATGGTGTTTAAACACAAGAATATACACAATTGACAAAAAAGCAAAGCCTTGGGCTATATGAAAAAATGTCCATCATTTTGTCAGCAGTGTCAGCTGCATACTTTCTTTCAGTGTTCGGACTATACCGTGGACTTTGGGGAGCCCACATGTTTTTTTTTATAGATGCAATGACTTACAAATAAAATTTCACAAATCACGTTTTCAGGGGAGCCCATGTCTTATTAAGGGGAGCC